GAAGTTTAAAGTAGAATGGTCATCCTTTCAATCCAGGGCTTGCACAAACATCACCTTGGATGATATTAGAATTCAGGAAAAAAAAAGAAGAAACACCCTTCCCCCCAGAAAAAAACCCAAACAAACAAAGCCCCAACAAAACAAAACAAAAACAAAAAAAACCCAAAAAAACCCCAAAAAAACCCCAAAAAAACCCCAAAAAAACCCCAAAAAAACCCCAAAAAAACCCCAAAAAAACCCCAAAAAAACCCCAAAAAAACCCCAAAAAAACCCCAAAAAAACCCCAAAAAAACCCCAAAAAAACCCCAAAAAAACCCCAAAAAAACCCCAAAAAAACCCCAAAAAAACCCCAAAAACCAAAACAAAAACAAAACAAAAAAACCCCAAACAAACAAAAAAAAAAACCAAAAAAACCAAAACAAAACAAAAAAAACCAAAGGTGATTTCTGGTTGCTGTTGTCACATCTGCCCAGTGGGACAGCAAGAAATTCAAGACCACACAGTGCCAAACTTCCCAGATCCACATCTTCAAGAGGTTCCACTGCAATTCTTACTTTTTATTCCAATGCCACTGGTGAAAATGCTCAGTGAGAGTGACCCCAAGACTCATCCCTAAGGGATCTCCAGAAACAATTTTCCTCCAGCTCAGTGTTTTCCTTCTTAAAAGTGTTGGTCTTTAAAAATATAGTTTCATTTCCCTAACAGTACCAGATTAATCCTGAGGACATGCATGAATGAAATTAATTCTGGAGCATGATTATAACAGCAGTGAAATTGCTTAATGGTCAGCAAAGGATGAAAAATTCAGATTTGACCAACATTATTTGACCAACAAAAAAAAGACAAGATGGAGGATGACAGATCAAAAGGAATTGCAGGAGACAGAGTTTATGAGCAGGCAGACTTTGTGAAGGGAATTAGAATAAAAGTAGAGCAGGAAAATATTTAGTAGGAGACTGAGAGGATTGATGGTTGGTCCTCTCTCAGTGGGGGTAACCAAATCCTGGGCATTTTTCTCAATTAGGATTGCCCAGAAGAAGTTCAGATGTATCACCTTCACTCTCCAAGCACCCTGGACATGCTTTTATTGCCTTGTTTTCCTTCCATTTTGACTTCATCATTCCGATAATTTATTTTTCCCACAAAAAAACAGGAAAAAAAAAAAAAAGAAAAGCTTTGCCTTAAACATTTATCAGCACCTGGATCCCCACGTTTAAAGAGATTTTCTTTCCTCAAGCACCTCCAGGCTGATGGATCAAGCTGCAGGAGCTGCCAGAGACAGCTGAACCACACTGAATATTTCCAGAGAATCACATTTATCCACACAGTCATTCCTACATCACAGGCACAAAGGGAGGGAGAATCTGATGCACACACAGCCACACACACGAGCGTCTGCTTTGGGGAATAATAGTGAGAAGGGAGTTAAAATAGTGATGCAGATTGTCAAAACATTACCTCAAAATCAAACTAACATTATCATGGCAAAGGCAACACTTTATGCAGCACTTCCTCAAGAATTGATGGGGTTTTCTGGTTTTTTGGGTTTTTTTTTTTTGGTTTTTTTTTTTTTTTTTTTTGGTTGGTCCAGAATTTTCTTTTTCCTCTCCTGAAAAGAAATACTTTTGAGCTGTGCTTTTCAAAATTTGCTGGATGAACTCAGACCTCAAATAAGAAATTGTTTTGCATGACAATACCCATCCTGTTCAAGCAGTTACACTAAAGGTATAAAACTCTAGGTGAGTTCAAATCTTCAATGAAAACATGGGTTTTCCTTCTGCAAAGCAACTGCATGTTTTATCTTTCCCCAAAAATACAGTTTAAACTGCTAAAAAAAAATTACCTGGGAAAGAATTTGTAGATCCATATCAAGGAGAAATGTTCATAAAGATTCTCTGGAATTTGATCTGTCATTCCTTACTTTGACTAAGTTCCTGCCTTTAAAGACCCATTTTTGGGCATTTTTCTCTATGTTGTCTCCTGTAATTTTGGGTAGGGGAGAAGCAATTGAGGGGATGTGACATCTCACTGGCACACCTGGAAAAACTTACAAACAGTGAGTTAGAGAACTCTGTCCACAAACCAAAACAAGTCTAAGTTTGGTAGATCTGCCAAAGAGGAGGGTGAACAGAGTGGGGATTAAACCCAGAACTGCTCATGCAGGGATGGCAGAGACCTTGGCTTTTCTCAGACACAACCAAGCAACACCAAGTATCCACAGTAAGCTCTAAAAAATAATTTTATGAGGCAATCCCACAGGGCTCCCTTCCCAAGGAGCACAAGTTAATTTGAAATAGATTTCACCTGTCTGGGTGAATTGGACCATATCTCCCTGCACAGGGAGGAATGAGCTTAAAGACAAAGCAGAGATCCCCACTTCTCTCACAGACAAATGCACTTCCTGAGGAATTTTCACTGATTTCCTGCAGTTTTTGCAACACCACCTCTGCTCTCACACCACACAGAACCGATTTGGAGATTGGTGGGGTTTTTTCCCCTGTCAAAATCGACTGGAAAATGGAAACTTATTAAAAAAAAACCCCAGTAGTTTCTCAAATAAATCTTCAGCAAGGATTTCACCAGCAGGCTGAGGACACTGACAGTGCCAGGAGGGGTCTGAGTGTGCAAAGAGCCCCAGCTGGGTGGGAAAGGGCTCTGCACACCAGGGCTGCAGCTGCATCCCCCACCAGGAAATCTGCTCAGCCCCTGGCCTGCCACTGCAAACCTCCAAAAAACCAAAAAAAACCCAAAGAAACAAGCAAACAAACAAACAAAATGCACAAAACCCCCTGAAATAAACAAACCCCCCCAAAAAAAACCAGCAAAAAAACCCAAACAAAAAACCCTGCACAAAAAACCAAAAACCAACAAAACCAAGAAAACCCAAAAAATGAAAAACAAAGAAAAAACACAAAACCCCCCGAAAAAAAACCAAAACCCACCAAAAAGAACAGGTTAAAAAAGGAAAGAAAAAACAAAAACAAAAATGGAAAAAAAAACCAAAAAATGGAAAACAAAAAAGCAACCAAGGAAAAAAAACACAAACCCCCCTAAAAAATGAAACCCCACAAAAAAACTACACAAGAAAATAACCAAAAAATCCCAAGAAAACCCCAAAAACAAACAAACAAACAAACAAACAAACAAAACCAAAAACCCCTGAAAAAACCCCAAAAACAACAACATCAAGAAACACCTAATAAAACCACACAATAAACAAAAACGAAAAAAACACCAAGGAACCCCAAAAAATTAAAAATAAAAAAAACCTCACAAAAATGAAACAAAAAGAATCCCCCAAAAAAACCCAAATCAAAACGAAGAAAAAAATCCCAAAACCAAAACCCACAAACACCAAAACCAGGAAATAAAAAACCCAAAAACACACATTATAAAAAACAAAAAAACCAAAAAAAATCCCAAAACCCACAGAAAAACCCCCAAAGAAACCAAAAAACCCAACCAAAAAAAAGGAGAGAAAAGTAACATTTCCTATTTGCAGCAGCAGCATTTTACTATTAGAAACCCTTTTACTATTAGGAACAGTTTCCTGAAAGGGGGGAGCTCTGTGGGATCTTCAGCTCCATTTTCTGCTGCAGGCACAATCCAGCCAAGCTCTGGCACTCCGGGTTAAGTCATGGAACATTTTCACCTCAGAACTGAAACCATATACAAGCTTCTGCTGAAAGCATTGTCAGATCAGCACTGGAAGATTTTAAATCAGGCTGTGCCTCTGAATGGGTGCATGAATGGCTCTTTTGTGGCCCTGCCACTTCCCAGGCACAAAGCCTTTTTAGCAAGCAAAATATTTTGGCCATTCTTATTTTTGCTGTGTGATTTATAACAGTGTCCCAAAGCCCTTTGTGATTTTAAAAAGCTGTGACTGTGGTTTTTTTCCAGAGAGGAATGATTAAATATAATATTCTGAGATCCCCATGTTCTTGTATGAAGCCTGCAAATGCTGACAGGGATGCTTTTAATGGAGTATAGGATGGAATTCTGGCAGAATCAGAGCCACTTCAAAAATATCAAGTATTGCACCAAAGAGCTTTGCAACCCGTAGAGCACAGAGGATTTCCAGGGCTGACTTCAGTGGGATTCCTTCTGAGAAAGAACTGGATCCTTCTGTCTTAAGCAAGGATGGATTCAGGCTCCTGAAAATGCAAAGCAGAATCCTGAGGTCCACGCTGAGCTCTTCATTTTGGCCACTGAAGGTAAATGCATGTTACCTTTGTCTTTTTGGTGAAGCTTTAAATCAAAACTAATGCTTCATTTTGGGGCAAGACAAGCTCAGGCATTAACAGTTTTTGCTAACCACTACCTTTACTCATAATGTTTAATAAATAAAGACAAATTTGACATATTTTTTCAAATGCATTTTATTTTTCTTCCTTTTTTGTAAGAAATTGCCATAAGGAAAAAGCTGAAGTATCAAAAATCACAATTTTAAACGCTGTGGGTTTCTAGAGAAGTAGTTAAAATAGAGTCAATACCAACTTTAGTAGCACTTTACTCCCAAAAGCTGGGATACCTTACAATGCACAGTGCCACAGAGAACCCTCCAGAGAAAGGACATTTTGCTTTGACTCAGAGCAGAGCATCCCAAAGTCACACCTGCACCTCCAATAAAGCTGATCTATCCATTCCCAGCCTGGGCTGAGCTGGGAAAGGCTGAGCCAGTGCTGGCCTGGCACCACTTCACGCCTGGAGTCTGGGAAATGTCTGATCCTGAGCACAACCAGGGGCTGTGAGGATGCCAAAACTCACCCACAGTGCCCTGCCTTCCCCACTCAGGGATGGAAGCTGCACGTGGAGCCCAAACTCAGCTTTGGGACACCCAAAACGAGGTGCAGCAGCCCAGGGCTCTGCAGGAAGCGTGGTGCGGGAGGGTTTAGAGCCTCAGGGCAAAGGTTTTGGCTTTGCTCTGTAAAAAAACAGCTTTTAGTCCATAACTTTTCCCTGCTGGAAGCAGCAGTGTCCCACTGCCCAGCCCCACGTGGCTACATGTCCTCGAAGAGCTCCTGGGGCTCACAGGAGTTTTCCAGGGTTTCCAGATCCCAATCCGGGCAGCGCTGCGCCGAGGTCGCCTGCGAGCCCAGGCCAGCCCTGGGGACAAAAAGCAGAGGGATGTGAGACAAATTTGGAACAAATATAAGTAATTCCAACGTATTTTGGGGTTTTTCCTAAGTGGGAAGTGATTCTGTGATACTGATTCACTTGCTGGGGTGGCAGTGGCAAAGAGGAAATTCAGTTTATAAATTGTATAAATTTATAAATTTGTAATCTATATATCTATATACAATTTTATATAAGAAAGAGTTTATACATTTATATTAATATAAAATATATTTAAATTTGTATTTATATTTGTATTTATATTTATTTATACTTCATGCAAATATATAAATAATATCTATTTTAATACATAAATATATATAAATAGAATACATTTATATGTATAGCTTTATATGTATATAAAAATTTACATTAAAACAGTTTATAAATTTATATTTACATAAAGTATATATTCATATTTACATTCATTACTACATTTTGTATTTACATTTTATATAAATATATATTTTATATATTTATACACTTTTATATATAAATATATCCACATAGAATATATTTATATTTATAGTTTCATATTTACATAAAATTATATTAAAAGAGCTTATAAATTGATATTTATATAAAGTATACATTTATATTCATTTTCACTATTATTTTCATATTTCTATTTTATACAAACATATAAATAATTTATATTATAATATGTGAATATAAAATATATAAATAGAATATATTTATATTTATAGTTTTATATTTACAGCAAAATTTATATTAAAAAAGACTTTATAAATGCTCTGCTAGAAGTTTTTTAAACACCCTGAGAATGACCATTTCACCCACAGTTTCCACATGGAGACCTGGAAAGAGCAGCACAGATGCAGAAATCACACTAAAGGAGCATGTTCCCTATTTCTGCTCTCTCTCCAGGACATGATTCCAGTAAAGACAGCTCTGCCCTTGTGCCTTGGGAAGGTGATGTATCCTGTGTTTCCAAAAAACCCCAAAAAATATGCCATTTCCAACAGCTTCTGACCCCTGCAGCAATTACACTTATATAGGCTGAATCCACAAAAAACCAAACCAAACCAAGCCAAACCAAAGCAAAGCAAACCAAACCAAAAACAACAACAACAACAAAACAACAAAAAAACCCAACCAAATGAACAACAAAAAAAAAAACCAAAAACAACAACAACAACAAAACAACAAAAAAACCCAACCAAATGAACAACAAAAAAAAAAACCAAAAACAAAAACAAAAAAAACCCAAACAAACAAATAAACAAAAAAAAAAAAAAAAAACCAACAACAACAACAAAAAAACCAACCCCAACTGAATCCTGCAGCGAAACCCTTTTTCTTGTGAGTTTAGAGGGGATTTGTCAATCCCAGGGGTGTGACAAGGATTCCAGGGAGCAGCATCAGCCACTGCCTTGAAAATAAAAAGTGATTTCCTAGCCTTGGCTCAGGGCCTGGCTGCAGCTTCACAGGGGTTGAGGGCTCATGCCCAGGTCCATTACAGTGCTGACAAAAAGGTGGAAAATTCAGGTATTTCCCAGGATGGGAAGAGCTAGACAGAAGTGGTGGAGAGTTCTACCCTCCAGTGCTGCCCTGTGAGGACTCAGGGAAATGAGGCAGGCAATGAAATCCTAATTTTCAGACTGATTCAAGCATCTGCCTTCTACTGCTCCGTGTGATAAAGTCAGTACTGTCGGTCAAATTAATGAATTTTTCCATTTTCAGAACGAAACTTTTCCGTAACTCCTACCTAGGAATCTCTAGGGAGGAGAAGGCTCAGTAAAAAATGGCAATTTCAAAGGGGAAGGAGCTCTCTCAGCCACCAGGCACGGCATGGCTCCCACTCCAAGCTGCTCAGGCCCTTGGAGGCTCAGAGCTCTGAGCATCCTGTGTTTCCTGGATCTGGGAATGAGTTCCATTTCATCCCTGCTGTGCTCCAGGGCAATCAGCAGAAGCCCTGTAAATGCTCAGTCTTGGATGCTGCCACTTCCTGAGAGCTCTCCATAATCCAGAAGGGTTTCCTCGCCACTCTTTCTGCCACTCCACTTCTGCAAACCCCTCTAAATTCAATATATTGCTATATTCAGAGTATGGTAATTACTTTCTCTGAAAGTCTAATGAGCTTTCTCTGAGAGCTCTTCCAAAACTCTCTTCTTCAGGCCTGAAGAAATTGTGCCAAGCATCTTTTATATTCCTTTTTGTCATCCAGTGACACCTAAACAGATATCTGCCTCACCAAAAAGTCACTGGGATGAGCTGTGAAACAGACCTGCAGGAACTGTACCCTTCACCAATGACCTCAGAGCATCCACACTGCTCTGGTGGCTAAAAATCAACTTATTTAAAACTAAAATACAGGCCACCAAGCCCCAGCAGAAGATTTTGAGGGTCAGTCACTGAAGGTGTATTGTCCTTTTACCTCTGTGGGTGCATCTCCAATGAGAACAACACATGTGAACCACACAGTGTGGAGCCACCCACTGATCATTTAAATTAATTCTGAAAGGTCTCATTAGCAAATAAATTAGGCTGTGGAGGCCTTTGTGCCACCACGGGTATTTCAGATATGCTTTGGTGTTTTTTGGGGTTTTTTTTTGAGCATATGCTCATATATTATTCAGGCATAAAATAATTAAAAGACCTCTGAGACCCCACATTTGCTGGCTGTGGGATTTCAGCAGTTCCAGAGTTTTCTGATTTGGACAGGGAAGCCTGACAGGGCTTAAGCAACGTCAACAACCATTCCATCCCCATTGGCTAAAATAACAGTTTTCAACACCATCCATGAGAGCAAATCTTTACGCCAAGCCACTGTTGAGAATTCACAGTGAGAATTATTAAGCTTCTGTGTCCTTGTAACAACATGGTCCTCATTTAATCTCCAAAAAGCTGCCTCTGAATAAACCCAGAGTGGAGGCACCGGGCTCTTCACACAAAGCTCATCAGCATTTGATTTAATTTTGGTTCCAGGACTTGGTGATTCCCACTTGCATGGCAGCTGCTCACTGAATGCCAACAGCCTGCTTTGTGCTGTGAAATTATTTGGGATTTCTCAGGGAGGCTGTATTACCATATCCTGACACAGAACTGAGTTAATTTCTGTAAATTGCAGCGAGTTGCACAGCCCTCTCTTGCCAAGCAGCCTTGTGAGTAAGGCATTCTTCCTCAAAGTTTATTCTTCTGTTGTATCTCTTTTTGAAGTCTTGCCTTTTGGTAAACTTAAACTGCATTAACACATCTGGAGAACTGCTGACTGTAAGAGATCATTTCATATTTCCTGACATTTAGTTCATAAATTGAGACAGAAGAGCAGACCCACAGCTGGTGTGAATCACTGCAGCACTAATAATGTCACTGCAGCTCTGCTGACTTACAGCAGCTGAGATTCTGGCCCCAGATCTGGAAGAAAGTGGTTACATGACTTGATGTTTCCTTCCAGAGCTGAGCAGGAGTCCTGAGGAGCAGAAGACACGCAAGGCTCTCCTTACCCAACAGGAGCTCAGGGACACCCAGGGACATGGCTCTGCAGGAGCTGCACCAAAAAAACCTTCATCTGCTGGAAAGATGAAGTGTCCTTGCACTTTGCTTTTGCCTCTAGAGCCAGCCCAGCACCCTGTGGTTATGACTCTACCCAAGCTTTTGTCCTTGGGCAACTCTCATGGGATTTGGAAAGAGAAAAACCCTCGCAAAACAACGTGGATGGAAAGGTTTCCCAAGAAACTTGAGTAATCCAGGATTGTGCCCCGGAACCACTGCATTATTTCCCTCATTTCTTAGTAATTAAAATAATTGCTTCCAACCCTGAGCTGGCATTTTACCAGGAGAGGGGATCTCAGCTCTCACCATCTGAATTTCTCAGTGTGTTCATCCTTGTCCAGATTGGTTTAATGCTTCCCTGTTTTGGACATGAATCCCAATGAAGGCTTAATACCATGAGCAGACAATAACAGAGGATAAAATCTGATATAGACTTTCTTCAGTGTCATAAAAATAGGTGCCAGCTGCAGCTGGTAGGCAGAGAATTATCACAACATTAACAGAGATATCTCGAATTTTTGAGGCCCCCACTAAAGCTCATGGCTGCAGCTGAAATCCTGGCATTGAATAACCAATGTCCCGTGGTGCCCTCGGTGCTCAGAGAAATCCTGTCTGCCTGTGGTGACTGGGAAAAAGGAGGAAAGTTAACCACAAAAAGAAAAAGCAATGGTGTCATGGAGGAGGGGGAAAAGCCTCCCGCATGGAGTGATGCACTGAGAACACTCCATGCAGACAGAGCTCTTTAAATTGGAATATTAAAAAGGTGGGTAGGCTAAATGGGAGCTACATGTGATTAAAAATATGATGGTATTCCCCCTTGGAGACATGCTGGAGTCACTATAAGGTAAATCATAGAGACATTTATCTTTTTAATTCAATGTAGAATGGAAAAAGAAAATAAAATGTTTTACATTTTGGCAGCAGTAAGAGTATTCAGCTTCCAGGTTCAGTTTTTGCTGGCATTTACTCCTAGAAGTGATATGAAAGCAGGCCCATATACTTCCAAATAATCCTGCAAAATGTAAATTCCACCAAGTCTTGAAGAACTTGCTGGGTACATTCGATTTCATGGCTTGAAATTAGAGTTGAGGGACTTTTCCCTAAGTTTGTGAGGAAACTGAGATTTTTTTGTGTCGATCTGAAGAGAGCAGTGGTGCCAGAGATCATCAGAGCCCAATCCACACCTGGCCCCAAGACAAATTCACAGAAAGTAGAGAAAAATACTCAGGAAATAGCTGAATAGAACAATTCTATGCCTGGCATTCCCCTAAGCTCAGTGTGTCAAGCAAGTCCAGTCCCCACTCAGGTCACCAGACAGACAATGACAAGATTATATTATTATTATTATTATTATTATTATTATTATTATTATTATTTCATTATCACTATCATTACCATTATTGTTGTTAGTATATAAATAGATAATACATAATATATTATATATATATTATATAAAATATATAATGCTAACAAAA